GGACCTTTCATTAAATTAATTAACAAAATATTTCCATTTCTTAATAAAAAAGAAAAATTAATTAAAATTGAGGAATGGTTAGAAGAAGAAGAGGACTTTATTGAGGAATATGAAAAGTTTTATCCATTAAAAAATAAACTTGATACAATTATTGAGGAGGAGAAAGATGATGAAATTGAAGAATTAAATGATTAAAAAATAATTTTTAATGTGATATTTATCATAAAATTACAGGGTGACCAGAAAGTAATTTTACGGTTTGCCTTTGCGTGTCACCCAACTGTTAGTGGTAGGAAAAGCTTTCTTTATCAAATTCAACTCAATCGGACAAAACAATTTTTACCAGTTCACAGTATAAAAGTCCACATTCAGACCAACTGGCCGTAGGTTCATGAACACAGAGTCCGGCCTGCTCCGCAATTATTTTCGCCCCCATCTAACTTTGAAATATAAAAAAGTACTCTTTTCTCCAATCTTGTTATTTTTTAAATACGTTTTTCCTTAAAATCTTCTTTTTATTAATGCTTATGTTTTGAAATATTATTTTCGGTACTCTTGTGTTATCTCCCCCCATTTTTTATGCCCCCCTTTTTCTTCTCTTTCCTTCCTTTCTCATTGCCGCTTAAAATTAAAAAATGGTCAAAGGCAAATAATGGTCAAAGGCAATAAATTTATAAAAACAAAAAAAATGACAAAAACATTATTCTGGAGGCCAAAATTCCGCAATTTTCTTACAAATCCATTCAAAAAAATTTTCCCCTTTAGCTTCTTGTCTACACATGAATTCTGCCAAGTAACTTTCCAAGTGATGCCGCGATGTTCCCCGATGTTTTTTATTCCTCCATTTCGCAGATCCCCAAAGACGTTCGATTTTTTGCGTGTTAGCTGCAGTTTTTGGGTCAACAAAGTTGTAGCGGTGATTAACCGTGAAGTGCGAAAAACCAGCCTCAACAAGTTCGTCATGTTTGTATCCTTTCCAGCTGTCAGAAATAATCAACGTCCCAGGACTTATGTGCTTCTCAATCTCTGCCATCAACGTCTTTGCTGATCGATCTGGAACCTATAAATACCATGAAATTTGTCTAATCTATTATAAGAAGATTAACCTGAACCAAAAAACATTCATCAGATTCTCTGCATAAGCCTCCAAAGATCCATTGTTGCGGTAGGACTCTGCCTGAATTGTTTTTCCTTTTTGTGAAGAGACTTTCGTCTATCTCTACAATCATCCCATCACCTCCTAAAAACAGCTATATTTTTAAACATTATAAAAATACCGATGAATTTGTGTGGTTTGGCTATGAGGTGATCTACACAAATACACCTTAGGTAGTTATTCCAATCAACTGTTGTGTTTGTTGGATCAATTCCCAATTCTCGCTGACAAAAATTTCCGGAAGTGTATTCAAACGACCAGCAGTAGAGGAAGCGTACTATTGTAACATATGGTAAACGACTACCTTCTAACCAATTTCCGACACGCATATTTACTTCACAACGACAATTAGATTTGCGGCATCTCCATCTAACTTGCTTGCCAATGCTTAACTTCATTTCATGTCCATTTAGACAAATTTTGTTTTTTGGTAGAATGTTTTTACCCTGTAAAAATTGAATCGCATCTTCTTCATTTTGAGGAAGTTTGAAGATATTCATTTTTCGAAAACAAATTTAATAAAAATTCAAAAATGACTCCTTTCTCAGATTGAATGTCTTTTTAAATAAATTTAGTGATTGCCTTTGACCATTATTTGCCTTTGACCATTTTTTAATTTTAAGCGGCAATGAGAAAGGAAGGAAAGAGAAGAAAAAGGGGGGCATAAAAAATGGGGGGAGATAACACAAGAGTACCTTATTTTCTGAAGCTTGATTATTTTTCCTTTATTATTTCCTAAAAAAATTATTTTGAAGCACAGGATTCCTCCGAAGCCCAAACTTCAAGAGCCCAATATTCCGCTTTTTTAACCAAACTCAAAATTCCGACGGAGCCCAATTTTCGAGTCTGATTTTCGCTACATTTGGTCTAAAGAGGAAAATAATCATAAATGAAAAAATATTTCGGAATTTTATCCCACAATTCATAACAACCATAATTTAAAAATTTTAGTTTTTCCCAGAATTTAACGCTATATTAAAATTTTTATGTTATCACTTGGTTCAAAATAAAATAATTTAATAAGTTATGTCAGCTCAATAGTAGAATTCGTATTGTTTTAGTATTACCAAAAGTCAATGGATGTCGTGGCTGGGTTCGGAGCTAAAATTTTAGTTAGAATAATGAGGTTATTGCAAATTGTATCACTTTTTTAATTGATAAAATAACAAAAATATTATTAAAATTAAATTATTATTTTATTTAATGTTAAAAGATGATACTATTTAATAAATGCTTTTAGCTTCTTCTAGAGCGCATTTCACTCAAAAGAAATGGGAAAGGAGATTGCAGCTAAAAAATAATATATAAATAATTGTACATATTTTTATATAAAATTATTTGTAAGCCACGGTATCATTTCATATCCCTTTTATCATTTTATATATGTATATATAATAATCTCGGTATCTTTCCAGACCTCGATGTCAACATTATTCTTGTTGTTCCTATATCTGTATGAAACATCATAAATCCATATTTGAGCGTGATATCAATGAATCAAGAGGTGTAATTTGTATATCAGCGAACTATATGTTGCATCCATTTTATTTTGAATAATGGTCATGATTTGTTAGAATTGTCAAAATATTGGTACTTTTCCGTTATGACGTAACCTCCTAAATTAATGTACAAAAAGTCATATATGGGGTAGAAAAAGGTGTAGAGTGGAACGGTGCCACTCTTTTTTCCCGGAGATGCCTGTGGACCGAGATATAGGGCTCGAAATGGTCAAAAACCATAGGGGGTAGTAAGCTCATTTTTGGGGTGAAAAATTCGAAAATGCAAATAACATCTCATTCGAAAGAGCTCCTCGATCTGAGTCGAATGAGACCAAAATCAGTGAAATTCGACCTGATTTGACAAAGTTATGATCGTTTGTTTTAGCTCCTTACCTACGGTCTACGGGCAGGTTTTTGCTGCTGCAGAGGAAGCCAGACATACCGACCACAGCTAAAATAGGCATAAGTTTATGTTACGAGCCCAGACCCAGCGACCGTTGACTCCACGCGAGGCGCGTGCCGCAAAACCCTGCGCGAAGCGCAGGGTTTTGCACAAGCGCCTCGCCGACGCCCCATAGGTTTATGTTACTTGTATTTTGTATCTTTTCTTTGTCTAATCTTGTCGAATCACGGTGATTTTTGTGTCATTCGACTCAGATCGTCGAGCTCTTTCGAATGAGCTATTATTTGTATAAAAAATTTTTTATTTAAAAAATCGCCCCTTTGGATCGCCCCCTTTTTTGACCATTTCGAGACCTATATCTCGGTCCACAGGCATCTCCGGGAAAAATGAGTGGTACAGTTCGACTCAGCACCGTTTTCTACCCTATATATGACATTTTGAACATTAATTTATGGGGTTACGTCATAACGGAAAAGTACCAAAATATTTAACACCTTCAAAGGAATCCACTGTGTAAAATAAAGACAAAACACAACATTTGCAAAACATGACAAAACACAACCCAACATTGCTTATATAATAAAATCCGAGGCAGCAGAATATTGACATAACTACTATCAAAATATAAGATGAAAGTTAAGTTAATAGGAAAAAACTTAAACTCTTAAAATATAAATTAAAATTATTTATTTATTCACATGTTTCTCTGTAAAAATTTACACGTTGAATAAATATTTGTAAGGGCATATTTCCTTTTATAAATTGCCGAATATAATAATATCCTCTTTAAAGGCTAAGACGTCTAAAATTAATAATGTCTATAAAAAAGCACTTTAATATTGACATAAATAAATATATAAGAAAAATGCCGCTTTTTAATTTTAATGTATATTTGATTGTCTACATTAACGTTTAATGTATATTAAAACACATTAAAGGAGAGAAAATTAAAATTTTTCATTTATTTATTTGTTAATGAAAATGTTAAGGGGAATTACTTTATACAATTAACTAATTAAAAAAGTAATATTTTAATTAAGTCTAAATTCAATTGTTTAATTCTTTAATATACTTATTTAATAAAGAAATTCCGACTGTTGATCATTCTCCAGGATGATCACTTTTTTACGTTTGGTGTCTAAAATTCCGTTTTTGCCCAAATTTCAGTGACAATATTCCGTTTTTTGATTTGGTGTCCAAAATTCAATAAAGCAAAATTTCAGAATCCAAGACAGAATTTAACATTAGCCACTAAAAGAGAAAAATGTTCAATAAATTTTAGTTTAAATTAATAAAAATGTTTTCCTCATTTAAAACAATTGTTTTATTATTTTTATTAAATTTACACATAATAATAGAAGCGGGTGACCCTTGTGAATATCCATGCGTTAATTTTTTTCTGAAGCCAGAATGTAAAGGATGTAAGTATTTATCTTAAATAGATTTTAAGACATTCTTAAAGAAATTTTTAAATTTTAATCTATTGATTAAAAACATAAAATAAAAATAAGTATTCAAATTTAGATAAGAAATCTTTATTGAATATAGCTAACTAATTTTTGGAAAATAATACATAAAATAATATAAATAACGAGAATAATGAAATTAAAATAGTTTTCCATGTACAACATCTTTATCATCTAGTTCATATTAAATTGTTGCCCGAACTCCTAGCCCCTGACAATTTTCGATCCGAACCCGTTCCGAGAAAATTTTGAAAACCCGATCCGAAATCACATCAAACTTTTCACTCTTCAGTTAGCGTATAATAATTTTATAATATATTTTTATTAAATTTTATATTCTAAACATGCAAATGTATTTTAGTATATGATAACAACAAAAAACTGGCCGTTCACCTTTCAAATACTTTGTATGCTACTAACGACACTGATTACCTAAAAAATTATTTAGCCGTGAAAATAATAATTTGGCACCGAAATATGAATAAAAGTTTTCTTAAAGGTTGGAATAAAAATGAAATGACAAAAAAAGTGCGGAAATGGACTGTTGATTTGTGGAAACTATGGGAAGATAGATTTGATAGACCTTATTGTTATATAATTGGTAGCGGAACAGAATTGTTAGATTTGAAAAAACTTGACGTAAAATTGCCAGCTTTTATTTACCGTATGCTTGATTCAATTGAAAATTTAAAATCTAAAGATTTTGCTAATAAATACACAAACAACGAGCTTGGAGATGCTTTCTTTTTTGACGATTTACAGGTTTTAAACATAAATCGTATATGAAATTTATAAAAATAAAATAGATAAATTATATTATTGGAAAGACTTTTGGATTGATAGTCCTAGAAAATCCATATATATCCAAACGTATATGAGAAAATTTCTGGAGATCCTCAATTTTCCGGATCAGTTTCCGCCAACTATACTAACAGTGAAGAAAAATTTATGATATCGAGCTCTACTGAATAGTTAACCCTAATCTATATTTAAAAGCTAAAAATACAGAGAATCGATATTTCCCTGATATAAATCTAAAATTTCTATGCTAGTTCATCTTAATTTTTTATAAATAAATACAAATTTAGGCAACATGGAAAGAAATAATTAACGAACTAAATAATAATACCCTTTCAATATTTATTGATATAAATTTTGGCATTGAATTATCAGAAAAATATTACAGCGCATTTCTGGAATTACTCAGAAATGATGAATTTGATGATAGTTTTCGAACAAAACTTTTTAATGGTGAGATGTTTAATAATATTTATTTGTAAAAGATTCTAAAATTAGATTCTTAAAATAAATAAATAATATTAATAAAAATTAATTCAAGATTTCCTAAATCAAGATGAGTTGTTAACTAAAAGAATGGAAAAAATATTCAGAAATTTTTCAAGATCATCATTGAATGCTATAATTGAAGAAAAAAATAAAAAAGAAAATAAAACAAAGCGTCAAACTCAAAAAGGCAAGAAAATTTCTGAACATAATTTTTTGGATAGTTTTCGAATAGTTATTCGCAATTATAATAATTGAATATTCGAAAATGCCTAACCATATTGAAAAACTTCTCGTATTTTATTAAAACCTATACTGTATCTTATTGTTTAGTTTCTCGCTAGAGCGGGTATCTATTGAGGTAATTTTTATGGTTAGAAACAGTGCTTCGAAGCTCGTACCAAAATTCGTACTCGTACCTGGTACGAAGTATGAGTACATGTACGAGCAAAAAATGGGGCAGGTACGAAGTAAGAGTGCCAGTACGAGACCAAAAAAGAGGTGGTACGAGGTACGAGCAAATCTGAAATTTCGAAGCACTGGTTAGAAAATTGTCGGTAATTTTATGTATTAATAGAAATTAGCTAATTATTTAAGGGAGGTATTTTTGTATTTCTACGATAGAACTAAGAAAAAATTATTTTAGAACAAATAAGTGAAGTTGAGAAAATTTTAAATGATATGAAATTGGCCGATAAGGGGAAGGAAGAGAAGGCTGGTTTAAATAATAAAAAGAAAAATAAGAATTCAAAAAATCAAAAAAAGAAATCGAATAAAATTAAACAAAAAATAAATGTAAAATTAATTGAAAAAAATGATGAAGAAAAATTAGAAGATATAGAGAGAGATGAAGAAGCAATTGAAGTTGTGAAGGATCATCAAAGCGTAAATGAGGCAGAAAAAGTGATAAAAGAAAATAATTCTGCAAACAAAACAAATACAGATGAAGGATTTAGTGAGGGCTGGAAGATAATTAACAAAAAAGATAAATCCAAAAAGAAGGAAGAGATGGTGCTGAAAAAAGACGAAAAAGAAAAAATAAACAAAGGAAACGAAAAAGTTTTCAATTTTCCATTAGAATATGCTTGGAATAATCATAAGAAAATAAATTATAATAAATATTTGAATGAAGGAATGAATGAGAAGAGAAAAGGAAAAACTATTGAAATTGATAAAGAAAAGGAAAAAGATAAAGGAAATAAAACGGAAAATAAAAACGAAATTGAAGAGAACACAAAAAATCCTGGATTGAATGATTCGAGAAATAAGAATATTCTAGAAAATTTGATATCTTCAAATTTTAACGAGTTTTCTCCAAAAATCTTTTTAGAAGAAGATGCATTAGTTGAAGAATATAAATCATATATTTTGGACAATAAAGATTGTAAAAAAATAATTCCAGCATTGAACATTGGCATTTTTGTTGTTGAACTTAATAATAGATTGAAATACCTATCAGAATTCAAGGAAAAAAAGAATAAAAAGCTCACTGGATATTTAGGTTTAAGTTTATAATTGTAGAGCCTGACATTTTAGAGTTTTAGTTGGCAATTTTCGTTATATTTTCACATAACTTTTATGATTCACAGGATTGTATCACAGCACGAAACTTAAGACACGAGTATCGTATACGTGTTCATGATTTTGAAAAATTTATTGTATGGGCGATGGAATAGAACCATCGTGGAGTGAGCAAAGACAGAAGCACAACCGACTGTGCCACCATCCAATTCAATGATGGGTTATTTATTTTCATTTATATTCTTTCTGCAAGTACGGACACATCACCCAGCTTTATATTTGGTGTCAACTGCCAAAGCTCAACGATCATTTCGACTGATATTGTCTGAATTTGTGCATGGGCGATATGCCTGAATTTTTCCCTGAGCTATAATTAACACATAATATTCTTATTTAAAAGCAACACAAGAATTTGGTCAAGAATTTAACAAAATATTGGAAGATAAAAATAAAATAAAAAGATTAGATCAATTGCATTGTTTAGAAATAAAATTGTTTCTTTTACTTAAGAAAACAGTTCTGATTATGGAAGGGTGGAAATTAATAAATAAAAACAATGAAAAAATAGTAAATTATGATGAAATAAGAATAGTTAGAGCCAAGCTGCATAAACAAATGTATGTATTTATTATTTATAATTGATATATTATTAAATAAAAACATAAAATAAATTTATTATTGGGAATATGTATTGGAAATTTATTATTGGGAATCACACTAAGAGTACGAACAAAATTTTTTGATTTTTCTTTTTGTTTCAAAGATAGGGTATATTCCTTAACAGTTCTTCAAGTTCGGAACCTACGCCCATTGGCGTAATTTCCGAACCAGTGAACTGCCCATACCCATTCCACAATCTTAAATTTATACATATAAGATAAGATATTTCGACAATTAAGGCTTGTTCATGCAATTATTAATCATCAATTGGATTACATTAAAACTAACTATGAAGAAAAGATTAATGAAAATCTGCTTGATAACATTACTAATGATGAATTTTATGAGGTTATATCTAGTTATAAAATGAAAAACGCACAGAAGGATAAAATAATGTTTTTTATATTTGATGAATTACCTTTTAAATTCGATAAGAAAAATAAGTTAGAAAATGCTGTAAGTTTATTTCTATTCCAATGTAGTGATTGTGACAAGCGTTACTTAAACTTAGGGGTGTTTATGTAATGTAGCCTCCTGAATAATTTTCAATTTTATTGCTGCGTATCCCTCTAAATTTCTCATTAATGAGACAAGTGTTACTGGATATCAAGGTTCAACCTGTTTTCATGGTTTTGAGCTTTTTACTCGACATTGATTTTTCTTTGGCTCAAAATAAAAATTTGAACAAGGTCTGAAATATAGCAAAAAGCTGAAATAAAGGTCAAGGATCCTAGTTGAATAATCAATTCCTATTAGTAAATAAAATAATTTTTAAATTTTAGCTTGAAGATATATTTGATGTACATTTTCTTCATATTAATAATGCAAAATCGAACATGGCTATTAATTATGTAAAGTTTATTATGTCTGAATGGGCTAAAGACGAATACAATTGCCATAATATTGAATTTTTTCTGTCTGGTTCTAAATATTTAAATACAGATATTTCCGATTCGGATGTTGATGCTAATGTAATTCTAACAAAATTAGTAAATGATGGTTGTAAAATAAATGAAATAAATAAGTTTTTTGGTAATCCAAGCAAAGATTTATGTCAAAATACTGAGAGAAGTTCAGAATGTGACGATTTTTCGTTATACTGTATTTTATGTCAGGCAAGGAATTTTTTATGAGATACATATTCTGTTATTAATTACAATGCTGGCTGCGGCAAATTATGAGCACTTTTTGAGCACAAATTATGAGCAAAAAATTTTTTTATTCTAACGTAATTTTCTAAGGAAATTATTTAAATTTAATAAGTTAATCTGATCAAAATTTTTTGACAAAAAATATAATATGATATAGGCAAGGTTTATATAATTTAATACACTCATAGCTGATTTGGCTTCTATAATATTTAGAAATTTTTAGGAGGCTCCAATCAAGCAACTCCGAAAAAACATTCATTCTAGAATAAAAATTATGGAATTTACCGCGTTTGATGTTAAATTCGATATATCTTTTGTGATAATTAGACAAGACATTAAAGAAATTGAATTAATAATTGATAATTATGTTAGAGAAATAGATATATTAAAACAATTATCAACTACTAAAGAAATAATTAAAGATAAGGAAGGGGAAATGTTCATTTTAGCTTCATTAAATTCAAACAAGATTATGCAAAATATCATTATCAAAAGTGGCAATTTGGAAAAATTCAAGTTTATTTCAAAAACTTTAAAATTATGGGCAAAAAGTAAGTAAACATACACTGCGTTCCAAAAGTATATGCACCCCTGATTTTTGATTTTCTATACATTTTTCTTTGTTATTTTGATTAGACTTTTTGTCTATCTATTCTTCTATGTAAATGTGTATGTTTAAACATAAAAATAAAAACTTCCCCCATTCCGTTTCATTTTTATACACATTTATGCAAAAATTCACTGTTCCAAAGTATATGCATTTCATATATGCACCCCCTACATATACTTTGGAACAGTGAATTTTTGCATAAATGTGTATAAAAATGAAACGGAATGTGGGAAGTTTTTATTTTCTTGTTTAAATATATACATTTACATAGAAGAATAGATACACAAAAAGTCTAAGCAAAATAACAAAGAAAAGTGAATGTTGTGACTTATAGGGGGTTTTTGTTGACTGGACCGATTTGGACAAATGAGGTGTCATTCGAAAGAGCTCGCCGAGCTGAGTCGATCGCGGGGTGAGAGAAGTCGATCAGACAATCAGGGACCGAGATACAGACCTCTGAAGTTTGAAAAAGAGAAGGGGGGAGTAAGCTCATTTTGGGGTGAAAAATTCAAAAATGCAAATAATAGCTCATTCGACTCAACTCGTCGAGCTGAGTCGAA